ATTTAGAAGAAATTAGAATAATTTCATAGTTGTTAAACCAACAAGAAAAAAATATATTAACTCAAGTTAATCAAATTAACAGTAAAGAATTAATTTCTAATGAATTATTAATTAAGATTTTAAATAACAATAATATTTGTAAAGCTATTAACAAAGTTATTTAAGAAATCATAAAACAAAAAAGATATATTGTAGCAGGCCAAGATGCTATATTTAATATACTCCCTGATGCAGAAATCAAGATATTTTTAATAGCTAATTTTGAAACACATGCTAATCGTCAAATTCTTCAATTTAATATTAAAGAATTTAATGATGTGTGGTTGGATATACTAAAAAGAGATTTAGCATCATCTGATTTAATCAAAAAAGCAAAAAAGATATCTCAAAATATTGATACAACATATTTCACTTTATCAGAAGTAGTTGATAATATTTTATCATTAGTATTTAACAAAATTTTTAAAATTCGATATGAAAAATATTTTCGAATAATTTTTATATTATTTTTATTATTTTTATTAAATAAATTTAATCTAGTTAGTCAATTAACCAACTAGATTTTTTTTATGTAGCAAACAAAATAGCTAACAAAAGAAAACAAACAGCAATTGTTGATGAAAATTCTACTATTGTTGATAAAACTTCTAATAAAATTTTAAAAACAAATGATAAAGATAAAATTAAAATAAATAAAAAACTCTCTGATAAGGAGGTTGAATATTTTCTTGGATTGAAAGGTTGAGAATTCCAACAAGAAGTTATTAATGATATATATGAAAATGCATTTTTTGACATTGAAGAACGTTTAATATTTATGCAAAATTTATTATATTATAATAATACTCTATTAAACAAGTATAAAAATATTGAAAGAAATTTACCAAAAAATTGTAATGATTCTAATTTTTTTAAAGTAAAAGCTTTTATTAAAGATAAATTAAAAGGCTCTAAACAGGGTGTAAATTTTACTATTCAACATTTAGAACAGTCTATTGAAGATCTTGAAAATAAACTTCAAGAAAAAAATACTGAAACTGAAATTTAATTATTTTTATTATTCAATAAAATTATATTTTTATATTTATATTTATTATTATCTATTTAGTTGTAATAACCGAATAGAATTATTTTTGTATAAAAATAAAAAATGCCAATACTACAAAATAATTTATCTCTTTTATTTAAATCAAAGTATGATAATTTTAATTTTCATACTAAATATAAAACTTATAAAAAAAAAATTCAACATATATTCCAATTCTTGTTCGAAGAAGTTCTCATCAAACAAAATCTAATGATATCAATTATCATTTAAAACATCAATATAATAAAAAAAAACAACTAGTTTCTGTTGGTATAGAAAATATACCTTATAGAAATTGGGATTATCCAACACTTTTTAAAAATCCTTTTAAAGATTATAGCAATGAAATAACTATTTGGGATGAAAAATATCCTGATCATGATCGACATATTCAATATCTCGAAGAAGGATATGATTTAGATGCTAAAGTAAATTCAGATACTGAAGTTATAGATGCTGAAGTTATAGATACTGAATCATATCTAACAAAAATTTCAGATGAAAATAATATTTACAAAAGTGATATAAGTATACCACCTTTTGTAAAAAAAATCGAAGTAGCAGATGAACTACCAATTAAATATATAACAAAACAAAATGGTATTGTTCAGAAGGACAATAATATTATTTTTACAGACCAAAAAATTTTTATAGACGATGACTTCTCTGATCTTCTTTCAGAAGAAGAAGCTCTTAAATCAGGTTTAGAAAAAAATTGTAATTTTATTTAATCAGTCTTTTTAAGACTGATTAAATTTTTATTTATATAATTATAAAATATAGAAAAATATAACTCAGCAAAAGAAAATTATCAAATATTAAATACTTTTAATTAAAAATATTTTACATTTATTAATACATTAAAAGATATTGAAAAATGTGGATTTTTTACTGATACTGATGCTATAATTAAGAAAATTAGAAGTTAAATTAAAATTAATATTAATTTGATGCAACAATATCAAGCTACAATTGATAAATATGAACAATTAGTTAAAGAATTTTCTCTATGTTTGTTAATTTCTAGTGATAAAAAAATTTGACTCAGTCAAAGAAATAATGCACAAAAAGATTTTTTTAATTATCTTCAAGCAACAGATGGAGCTAAAGAAAAAGATGAAACATTTGAAGAATGTGCTCAAAGAGAAGCCCTGAAAAAAGCAGATATCGAATTAAAAGAACTTATATTTGTTTGTTTTCACAAAAGATTTAGAGAATTTCCTGATAAAAATACATATTTATTTAAAACTGCAATATATTTTTCAGTTATTGATAATCAAGTTCTGGTTCAAACAGAACTATCAAAAAATAATCTATGGTTTCTATATGAATTAAAAGAATTAGCAAATCTTAAAATAACTGGTTCAATTAAAAAAAGTTATAGTCAAATTTCTGATGCTATTAATAGTAAGTTCAGAAATATTAGAAACAAAAAACATTGTAAACTTGAACCTGAGCCTGTTAAAGAAATAGAAAATGGTATTGATACTAGTAGTATTACTAAAGAGTATATTGAAAGCCTTAATAATAATGAAGTATTTTATGCTAAAAAAAAGTTGAAAGAAGATTAGCAGCTGATGTAAGACATGAAAATTGGAAAAGAGAATTATAAATTTATTTTTAATTTTATTTTATTTATTTATTTAATAAATATTTATTCTACTCAGTTTATAACCAAGTAGATTTTTAACATTGTAAATAAAAATGATAAGAAGAAAATAGAATGAAAAAAATTTAAATTTTTAATTAAAAAGAATAAAAATATTTTAATAAATTAAATAAATATTCTATTTAGTTAATAACCGAGTAGAATTTTATTTATGTAATCTTAATAATAAATGATAAAAAGATAATTATTTACTGAGTATTTTTGTTTAGTTTCTTTATTAAAATGTAAGTTATCACTGTGGGAATGAGCTTTCTGGCATTAGAATTTTATCTGTGAATAGCAGAAAGAATTGTCCATGTAAATTTTGATAACAAAATTTTGTGAAAAAAGTACAAGTACTTAGTATTAGGAATAATAATTGAAGCAATAACAACAATTTGCTCATATTTTTTATTTATTTTTAGTTAACACCAAAGCAAAAGAAGATAAACTTGAATTATTTCTTTTACAACTTTTATAAGAAAATTCAATTGAATACAATACAACAAAAACAGGTTATTTTGTTGATTCAATATTTACCCTATTGGTGATAGTGGGATTGATTTATTTGGTAATTACAGATTGATGAACTACATTATGCAGATTAAAAATAAAGTAAAAAAATATAAAGTTGGTTCAAAAGATATCTAAGAATTTTCTGCAGTATTAGCAAAACAAGCAGAAGGTACTGTAGGATTTTTTGTTACAAATTCTACTTATTCTATAAATGCATATAATGAGGCAAGTAACTCAAAGCAACAAATTATTCTTTGTACAAAAAATAATGTGATTGAAAAAATCAAAGCAACTAAATTAAATTTAGAAAACAAAGAGTTACAAAAAAATTCATTTAAATTAAATGATTTGGTAATCAAAGATCTTAAAATCGATTCTGGTGAATCTACTATATATCTGTTTGGTATAAAAATTGATGGAAAATATAGAATTGGATCTATGCAAATTAAAGATAGTAATTGTAGATATAGGCCTTATTAAATCTATTTAGTAATAATTACCAAATAGAATTTTAATTCTGTAATTAAAATAGATTTTAAAATAAAAAAACATATTACTGAACTTGAGATTTTATTAAAAAAGTTAATTGACAATATTAACGACAAGGAATATTCTTTAAAACAAGAATATTTATCAGAATGTTATCAAATCAAAATTGAAAGTGAATATAATAATATGTAGAAAATGAATATGTATATAAAATTAAACAAGAAACATTAAGATGATTAAAGAGAAAATATCCTAATGAAGTAGTTAGAAGAAAAGAATTAAGACAAAAGAACCAAAAATTATTGTATTAACAGAAGCTATTGGTATAGAAAAATCAATATTTGAAGAAAAATTTAAGAGTTATTTAGAAGAAAAATAATATAAAGTTTATTGACCAGTTGAAGTATCTTTACTTCTCAATGATGAATTAAAACTCTTTTGCAAAGACCCAAAAAATAATGCTTTATTTTTTCAATATGCAATTTTAAATTTTTACAAAAAACAAGCTGCAAAAATTAATATGATTGATTTATACGATTTTGTAATACTTGATCGAATACATATTAATACTAAAGTTTTCATACTAATGAATACTGAAGATAAAGAAATTATCAATTTTTTAGAAAAAAAAAAAAAAAGAAATTAAAATAGAAATATCATCAAAGTGCTTTATTTAAAACCTATAAACAAAAATATAATTGAAAGATAACGAAAAAGAGATCAAAAAGCAGAAACATATACTGATAAATATTTAATTAAACTATCTGATTTTTATAAGAAATTAATT